ACTGCATACCAATGGTTTCTCAGTTTTATTACTGATCCGGCTGGTTTGGGCTGAGGGAGCAGATCCCGAGGCTTCCTTAAGAGGTCTCTGACTATCAGGATCTTTGGCCTACCTCCTTTTAAGAACAATTCAACAATAAGCCCTCCGATTACTGTGTCACATTTACTTCGCTTTCCCTGACATCTGCCAGATTTTATTTTTCTTCCTTTTGTACTTCATGATTCTTCAAAATGCTTTTTATTTTTAAAGTGCTTTAAACAACTGCGTCCATAGGGGACAAGTTTTACAAGAATAGAAATTCTTTGTTAAAACAATTTGGGCAAATTTATTAGCCTAAATTCCTGGTTTTTTTTTTTTCAAAAAGAAGATAAATCTTTAGAAAGGAGTGCTTCTGCATGTGAGGCAGAGAAGCAGGAGGACATAATGAAGTAATGCTGTTAATTGGGTGAAATGTCACCTGTGATGAACATCAGTTATAATCAATGTATTGAAACCTCTTAACTGACAGCGTTGGCAACTTCTAGTTAAGATATGGTTACAGAGTGAGATAGGTGGTATAAATTTAACCCAACAATCTCTGAAAGAGAAGCTATTTTGTTGGCAAAGATCTGGCCTTTTCCCAAAGCAGGAATGAAAAATTAATTATCATTAGATAATTGTTATTAGATGCTTGTCGGAGCATCTAAACTGAGCATCCCATTACCGGCTCACTACATGCCCTGTATGTGAGAAATTAGCCATCGGTCTCCCACCTTTTTTTTCTGCCTCCCCCCCTTGAAGAAAAATTAAGAATTAAAAAACCACCGTCATTGAGTCTGCTCTGGGACAAAACCCATTAAATATGTGAGGTGTTTTTTTTTATTATTATTTTCTGCATTACTTGGGCCAAAAGGATGAAGGATCAGATAGATGCCAACTCAGGTCAGGTTTCCCAGGACCAATTTCACGTCCTTGTTACTGACGGTGGTTTGGGGGCCTGGTGAGCTCTCCTTCTCTCTGTCTTTGGTGAGAAATCAAATTAAAAAATGGATGGTTTTGAGGGAGCTGAATCTTGAGAGTTTGCAGTTTCTTGTTAATTTCTGCAACAAGGACTTTTGGTCTGATACGCTCTGCTCTGGCTCCCCTTGTGCCAAGGCTCAGGAAGTCGGACGGTGGATTGGGGGGGGTGGGGAGTGTCAGAAGGTGGCTAGTCCTCAGCATCTCCTGCCCAGCATCTCACGGCTGCCTGCGGCTGTGTGCGTTGGGCTTCCAAGCAGCCTGTGATCACTCAAACAAGTGAGCCAAGGAATGTATTGTGCATGCATTCTTTTTCCCGGCTCTCCCTTTCATTAGAATCAGACCCCTTCCGAGGAGGGGAACGTACAGAGGGCAAAGCCCACCCCCCACGCGGTGTTTGTGTGTGTAACTGGTGCCTGGTGTCTTGAATGCATGCGAGGGAATTCTGCAAAATGGGTCCTTCTACCAGCCTCTTCGGGTGGTCTGCAGCCCTCTGCAAAGAAGGACGAGCGAGGGGCTATTTCAGACTTGGGCATCCTTGCAAAATTTGGGGGAAGGGGCAGAAGCACAGAGGACGGACACCCCCGAGGAAGAGGGTGAGCAACCAGCTGTTACTCCTTCGATGCATTCTGCCAGAAAGCTTGTTAGCGGCTGGAATCTTGTTCCGCCTAATGAAAGGGAAGAGAAGACAATTTTGAACCAGGATTGGAAAAAATCCTCCTGCCATGAAAGCTAACGAGAGGGCCCTATTTTTGGGATTGTCGCAAGCTCCCTGTGACTTCAGCCTCTTTTATGACATTGGTGGTTGAGGGGCAGTTTTAAAGTCCAACTTTCTTTCTTTTCTTTTCTATTTTTTAGCATAAAAGCCCAATTCTCAAAATATCTGCTTTTACACTAGCCCTCAAAGCGATCTCAGTCGATGGTACAAGCCGGTTTTCTGCAAACTAATATTTCTCACCATGTTTGGGGTCGAGAATGCTGAATTGCTGATGTTTTGCCCTTCAGGGGATTTGGCACTTCTGTATCTGGGGCAGAAAGTTGGAAGAGTTTTGAAAAACAAAAACGACTCCGCTTTTGGACACTCGTAGCCATTCAGCGTCTCCTCTCCTTTTTCCAGTCGGTTTGGTACCAAATGCGCTCGCTGCGGGAGGCAGATCTACGCCAGCGACTGGGTGCGGAGAGCTCGGGGCAATGCCTACCACCTGGCCTGCTTCGCCTGCTTCTCTTGCAAGAGGCAGCTGTCCACGGGGGAAGAGTTTGGCCTGGTGGAGGAGAAGGTACTATGCCGGATTCACTACGACACCATGGTGGAGAACCTCAAGCGGGCAGCAGAGAACGGTAGGTATCCCTCTCAACCCGTCCTCCCGGGTGCTTTGTGGCTCGTCCTTGAGTGCGTGGTCTCTTCCACGAAGGTCTCAAGAACCTCCTCAAGTCTGTCCTTCCTTCACATCTGTTTGACTTAGGCCAAGAGTCAGATGCCTTTCTGAGTCAAAAATCTCTCCATCCATCCAACTTCCAACCACCAAGGAAGTGGGGAAACCAGAATTTGGCAGGCCCTCTATTAACGCTTGGCAGGAATTTTGATTTTAGAGTTGGTTTCCTTCCTGAATGGTGGGCAGCTCCTTTAGGATCTGAGAGCCAGGACCTCCAAGGGTTGGGTTGTGGGCTGCTTGGCCCTTGACAAAATCCAAACAGTTGCCTAGAGGTGAACGTGGGCACTTGGCAAAGCAGGCAGGGTGGAGATTGGCTGGCCGGATCTCCTCCGATGAGTTCAAGATGCGCCAAGGTGTGCCAAGGAGCTAAGCGGGATGACATAGAGCAGTGTTTTTCAACCTTGGCAGTTTGAAGATGTGTGGACTTCAACTCTCAGAATTCCCCAGCCAGCAACGCTGGCTGGGGAATTCTGGGAGTTGAAGTCCACACATCTTCAAACTGCCAAGGTTGAGAAACACTGACATAGAGAGATTTGGAAATCCGTTCAGTTGAGACAACTTGTGGTGTCCACTTCTGGCTCGCACCCAGGAGGCAAAATGGAGAAGGGTGGCTTTGTGTTAGAGGGGAAGTTCGCACTACACCCAGAGTAGTGTGGGTGTAGAAGCATCAAAGGGGGGGGTTCTTATTTTTGTTCAGGGGGTTTTAAGGCCTTGGGTTTAGAGATCTTATGAAACGGGTCAACCAAAACGGCTCCACCTTCTTTGGTTCCTTGACAATGGAATAGTTGGCGCGCCGTGGTTCTAAAAATTCCTTGGGCCTTATACAGAATTAAACTTGACTCTCTGTTCTGCAGCTACACAGACAAAGCTGGGTCCCCCGTCCCCCCACTCATCCGTGGCAGGCATTTTATCTTTTTATTTGAGCTCCTCTTCTTGAACCACTTCAGCTCTTTGTGACATGAAATGCGCCACTGTGTTTCAGCCTAAGATCAAGGGAGGCAGCAGGGGAGGCCCTTGACGAGGGATTAAAACTGACCCAGCCTGCTGGTGACGTCTCTATTTATCTATTCTTAACCAGATTTATGTATAAAAAAAACCCCACCTCTCCACTCCCAACTCTAACAGTGGGACTCCGGGCAGCCTGCAGCCCAAACACAAACAAGGCAAGAAAAGTCTTGGTTAAAACAAGGAAAATATTCCAGTGGGAAATGCAGATTATACAATAGCGACTAAGCACTGTCACAGAACAGCCACCAGGGGGCTCCGTTCAGTTGCCCCCTGCTGCCTGCCCCCCCCCCCCCCCCATGGCTCTTTGCTGAAGACCATGAAACGTGATGTGATTCCGTGTCTAAGCGAGCTGGAACGTATCTTGGGTTTATCTTGGATTGCTGCTCTCTAGAAATCGCAGGGCAGGCCTGGGTTCCCCATCAGGGTGGCTATTTGGAAGGGGCACCGCTGGCATCGCAAGATGTACCCAGTTCTCTTTTTTCAGTTTTTGTTTTTGTGACAAAGATGCAGAGAAAAAATGTTCCAACACTGGGAGTTTTTAAGAAGATGCTGGATATCCATTTGTCTGAAGGGTTGTAGGGTTTCCTGCCTAAGCAGGGGGTTGGACTAGAAGACCTCCACAATCCCTTCCAACTCTTTTATTCCATTCTATTCTATTCCTTATTCTCTTCTTTTCTATTCCTTCTTCTCTTCTTTTCCTTCTCTTCTATTCTCTTCTATTCCTTATTCTCTTATCTTCTATTCGTTATTCTATTCTATTCCTTATTGTCTTCTGTTTTTTTCCTTCTCTTCTCTTTTTTCCTTCTCTTTTCTATTCGTTATTCTATTCCATTCCATTCTATTCTATTCCTTATTCTCTTCTATTCGTTATTCTATTCTATTCCTTCTTCTCTTCTTTTCCTTCTTCTCTTCTCTTCTCTTCGTTATTCTATTCCATTCCATTCTATTTTATTCCTTCTTCTCTTCTATTCCTTATTCTATCCTATTCTATTCCTTCTTCTCTTCTCTTCTTTTCCTTCTTCTCTTCTCTTCTATTCGTTATTCTATTCTATTCCTTATTCTCTTCTTTTCCTTATTCTCTTCTCTTCTTTTCCTTCTTCTCTTCTCTTCTATTCCTTCTTTACTTCTTTTCCTTCTTCTCTTCTCTTCTTTTCCTTCTTCTCTTCTCTTCTATTCGTTATTCTATTCTATTCCTTATTCTCTTCTTTTCCTTATTCTCTTCTCTTCTTTTCCTTCTTCTCTTCTCTTCTTTTCCTTCTTTACTTCTCTTCTTTTCCTTCTTCTCTTCTCTTCTTTTCCTTCTTCTCTTCTCTTCTATTCGTTATTCTATTCTATTCCTTATTCTCTTCTTTTCCTTATTCTCTTCTCTTCTTTTCCTT